TAAAGGGGTGTTTGTCGGCCACTACCGTTCTTACCCGCTCGTAGTCGTCTACGTACTTTAAGCACTGGTGTAACGTGGACGGAACGATCCGGTTGCCATGAATCCACGGACGCCCCAGGAGTATGTTGTAGGAGGGTTCAGCATCGATAACGTAGCACGTCACCTCCGTCTTCATGTCGCCTATCCGACATTTCAGGCGGATTTTGCCGAGTGGCCGAGTCCCTGTGGCGTTGAAGCCGAAGATGGTAGTCGAGGTCGAGGCTAGGCGCTTCGACGGTATCCCCAAGTGTTTGATTAGCTTCAGGGGCACGATGCTCAGTGCAGACCCCGGGTCAACCTGGATCCGATCCACTTTCGCCGAGCCGACGTATCCCGTGAAGTACAGTGGCCGGTCATGGGACGTGTTCTTGATGAGCATGTCCTCGGGGGTGAAAGTGATGCAGGGGATCTGTCTCTCTGAAACTTGGCAGCAAGTTGTACAGCCTTGTTCGATCCCCGTTTCTTTTGAGAAATGGGTCGAGAACGCCTCTGCGTCGGCCAACGCCTCTTGTAGGGCCTCCCGGGTAGGCCTAGATAACCGGAGGAGGTCGTACATGGTGATTCGCGCGGGTATGCTTTTCAACTGCGCGAGCACGTTGAACCGGTAAGGCTGGCGGCTTGAACTTGGTCCATCTGGATTGGGAGGGACTGCTGCGGCCGGCCTCGCGGGAGGTCCTGCTGGGTTTTCCGCCCTCGCGGGATATTCTTTCGCAAACTCCTTTCCGGCTCTCGTGGCGAAGACGTTGGTGTCTTCTTCAGAGTCGGTTAAGGCAGTCATCGCCGCGTCATCCGTATCCAGGATGGCGGTGACCGCGTTGCAATGTTTTCTCTTAGCCTCCTTGGAAGGCTGTGCGGTCCACTGCTCGTCGTCGAGGAGGTCCGGATGGACCCACATCACCTGCCCTGATGGCAGAGTTTGTGGAACCAAACCCTTTTCCCGCTGGTTATGAGGATCGTCGTTAGTGATCTTCAAAACCACCTTGGGGATAGGAATTATCCCCGCCGGAGCTTGAACCTCCAGGAGACCCGTCCCAAAGCTCAAAGTGACCATGTTCGCCGTCACTTGCTTTTGGACCTTCTCTTTCTTTTAGACCCCTGCGTCGTAGAGGGCCTGGAGTTTGTCCTTGAGGACGTAGCACTTGGTTGTGTGATGCCCAAGGAATCTGTGATATGCACAGTAACTTGGGTCACCGGTTTTGTCCGCCTCCTCCGGTTTGGCGGCTTCCGGCAACTTAATTCGCCCACTCTTGAGTAGAGTGTCGAGAGTCGCCACTACCTGGTCTTCTTTGAAATCATATTGCCGCTGGGGGCGTGGTTCAAATTGCCTGGGTTTCGGCTTTTGAGCGAACTTTGGCGCCGCGGCAGAGTCCCCGGCCATAGCCTCTTTTCCTTTCGATCGAGGAGGGTTCTTTGGCGCCGCTGGTTCTGCTGCTCCCTTTTTGGACTGTGGCTCTTCAGATTGTTGCGGCATATCTCGATCAGCGTCGCCTCGGAAACTTGGTCTCGACAGTGGACTGATCGATTTCGAAATCTCTTCACGAAGTCGTTAACTGACTCTGACTTCCGCTGCTTCTCAGCGAGGAGAGTGGCCATTGACACTTCCGTGTCGTCGTCGAAGAAGCGGGCGAGGAAGAGCTTTTCGACGTCGGCCCATGCCTTGATGGAGCCAGGCTCCAGTTTGCGGAACCACTCAAAGGCCACCCCCTTGAGGGTACCTATGAATAGTCGGGTGAGAATGGCGTCGTTCCCGGTGAGGAATCCGGTCTGCGCCATGAAGTAATAGATATGTTGCGAGGGTGACCCCTTGCCATCAAACTGCACCAAACTGATCGGCTTGAACTTCGCTGGGTATGGGAACGTGTCCCATTCGATGGGGTAGGGACGTATCACCCCCAGCTTGTTCATGTTTTGCTGAAGCTTCAGCGCGTTCAGTTGGTCCTGGAACTCGTCGAATCTTTTGTCACGGGTGCTATCCGCGGTGTGCGACGTTCCTATCGATGTTTTGGAGGAGTAATCGGATTGTCGATCATCCTCCGTCTCAGCCGCTGGACGGTGAGGTGGTACCCACTCCTTATCCCTAGTCTGCCGGGGTAAGGGACGCTGGGTCCTCTTCTTCTTCTTCTTGTTCAGCAGTTGCTCCATCATCTCTCTCAGAGAGTCGATGGTCGCCTGCTGTTCCTCCAGTTTTTGGGCCATTGTTTGCTCGGTATCGAGTGCGGTCATGTGTACTCTCGCCTGCGCATCTTGACTTGAGCGCGAGGTTTGAGATGTGGCCGCTGCCGAATGACCTTCGTCTTCGCCGCAGGAGGGAGGTACCAGGGTAGAATAGTCAAACCCGATACTTACTCCCCTGCGACTACGGGTTCGCTGGAATATGCCTTCCTGTCGGCGTCGAGCGAACCGGGTGTTAGGTCTTAAGACGGAGTCCGAGTCTGGCGAGTCGGAGAGTACCGCCTTCCCTTTATCCGTCATGTTGACTGTGGCGGATGAGAGTTCCAGGTCGTCAGCAGCGCGTCTTTTCTGGTGACGGCGCCTTCGACGGGAGGGCCTCGGTCGAGAGGCCTGTTGAGAAAGCCTCTCAAATACCGAAGGTTTCGCCGTTCCAACGCATTGGCAGTCGGCGAGGACCGTGTGGATGAGTCTCTCAGTGGCACTGAGGATTCGCCTCCTGTATAGTGCGTTTGCGAGTTAAGTATTCCCTAAGGTCTT